GTTCAAGAAGGCCACATTCTGTTGTTTCAGTGAAAGGCAGTTTCTTTTATTGATGGTGCCCTCTGTGAGGCGGTGGTTGTGTATTTTCTGATTCTCTTGGTTTTTGGGTTTTTTTTTTTGTTTGTTTAAAATATACACAGAAAAACATACCAATTCAACAACGTTTACGTGTACCTTGCAGTAACATTGATTACATTCTTCAAGTTGTGCAGCCATTTTCACCCTCCTTTTCCAAATTCTTTCTCCCCCATTGACATAAACGCACTGCCCCCTAAACTTCGTATCTAACCTTTAGAGTTCCTGTGGTCACTTTGGTCCCCATACATAGTTCTTTAACAGATCTGCAGAACTTTCCATTTCCTGTTTGCTTCCGTCTCTAACTCTCAGAGACAGCTTCAAGTGATCTCCCTGTCTTCCAGAACCAGGCTTTTCCACAGGTTGCCATTTCTTTCCCGGTGCCCTTTTCAGCCCTTTCGTGGGTTTTTTTTTTAAATTCTGCAGTGGCCAGTGTTTTGACCAGCAGGTCTCCCTCTGTCTCATTCTCAGTAGTGTTTCATTCAGAGAGGCGCTGGCTTTCTGGAAGCGACTTTATCTGATTTCCACCCCTCCTGGATCCTTGCTGCCCTCTCTCATTTCTGTTCATCCCCTGCCGTACTCTCCCCTTCAGTGTAAATGCCCGCCCTGGCTCTGCTGGCGTGGAGTGTTTATTTCATGCGCTACAGTATTTAGCTTTGTCCATCTTCTGGTGACTCTGTAGGCTTGAGTTCTGAGTGCCTTTATTTTCTCTCCTTGTTGATCGATATGGTTTTAGAGAAGATACGGAAAGACTTGTTTAGGCTGTAATCATTATCTTATGGAAAGTTGAATATCCTAGACTAAAATTCTACATGTTAAAAAAAAAAAAAGAGTCATGAATATTCTGGAAGAAATTACTAGAGATTACTTTTTTTATTAGTTTGGGAATAGGGAAGTACTTTGCAATAAAGTACTGCTTTTTATTATTTTGGGGTAGGGAAGTACTTTTACAAATTCCAGAAGATATAAAGAAAAATATTCTTGAATTTTAAATTCTTAAATTTCTCAGCCTATAGGATAGTGAAAAGCAACAACAAAATTTAAAAAGGCGTACAAAGATTGGGAGTAAATATTTGAAACATCTACAGAGGAAAAAAAAGGTCAACATATAATCATTCCACAAATATTTACTGAGGGCTTAGATTTTGCCAGGCACTGTTCTAGTCTTAGGTTAGGGAGTGGAGACATAAGTTAAAGAAATGGTAGAAATATAGAGTGTGCTGGAGGTAATAAGTGCCATAGAGCAAGGCAAAGCAGAGGGAGTCCGCCATTGTTGATAACACAGTCATGATGAGATGGTAAAGCATGCAGATGCCTGAAAAGAAAACTGAAGTCAGAGGGAGGAACAGTTACAAAGGCTCTGAGGTGGCCAGAGTGGAGGAGAAAGAGGAAGCATAACAGGAAGGGAGAGATATAATGGAGGCTGGATTATCTGGGATGTTGTAGACTATTATGGTGACTTTGGCTTTTACTTGAAGCCCTGGTGGCGCAGTGGTTAAGAGCTCGGCTGCTTACCGAAAAAAGGTTGGCAGTTCGAATCCACCAGCTGCTCCTTGGAAACCCTATGGGGCAGTTCTACTCTGTCCTATAGGATCGCCATGAGTCAGAATCGACTCAATGGCAATGGGTTTTTTTTTTGGCAGGCACCAAGAAGAGAAGTAAAATGATCAGACTCCCCTTTTAATAGTATCACTCTGGCTAATATTTTAGAATAAATTAGTGTGTGTGGGTGAGGCTGGGGAGAGTGATGGGGCAAAGATGTAAACAGGGAGACCAGTTCAGAGAGACAAGTACAAAATCCAGGAAACAGACTATAGTGATTCATGACATATGATGACCCGTAACTTATAAAGAACTCCTATAAATCAGGTTGAAAGAGACAAATAGATCTTTGAAACTGGACAAAAGGCATATATGTACAATTTCCAGAAAAACAAATACTAACGGCTAATATATATATGGAGGCTTTGGTGGTTCAGTGGTAGAAATCTCCTTCTTTGCTGAAGACCTGGGTTCAATTCCTGTCCAATGTTCAGCCACCACTGGTCTGTTAGTGGAGGCTTGTGTGTTGCTATGATGCTGAACAGGTTTTAGCAGGGCTTCCAGACTAAGATGGATTAGGAAGAAAGGCCTAGCAATCTACTTCCAAAAATCAGCCAATCAAACTGATTATGGGAATGGTACAGGACTGGGCAGCACTTCCTTCCGTTGTATATGGGGTCACCCTGAGTCGGGGCTGACTTGACACCAGCTAACAACAAGAATATATATATGAAAATTTCACTGTAACCAGTAATATAAAAAGTGAATTAAAA